TAATCAATATGGAAACAATCCTTTACCTTCTTTGTTTGAACGAATATTTCAATCCATAAAGAAGCAGTATAACTAAAACCACAAGTTTGTGAATTATGCTGCGGCATTTTAAGAACGGGTCTCTGTAAGAATCAAACATCTTGGGAAATGAAAATTTTCAACCACCCTTCCGAATTTGCATGCAGTTAGGCACTCAGGAGGGATGCACAAAAATGCCCTTTTTAAAGGTTGCAGCACTCTTGTTGCCAAGGTAGCGACAGGTGCTTGCTCGAGGCCTGGGACCTCATTTTCACGCAAAAACATCTAAAAAAAAAGAGTAAAAAGTTTATTTCTCTATCTCAAACTAAATACAACACTACAGCTTCGCATTTCTACCATATATAGCGACCCTACTTGTCTTCACTTTGGTGCGTTCAATTTTCCCTGAGAATGAATGTTAACATACCAATAGATTATTTATCTCGGTACAGTTTCGGTCATTTTTGATGTAGGGTAAAACAGAAAAAACGTTCATCTGAATTTCTCCAAAAGGCCACCGATTCTGGAACTGAAACTACCCACCTAGCTGCTCATAATATTCTAGTTTCTAAATATGTAAACATCTCTGCGGGCCAGACTCTACTTTTCATAGGGGCAATTCGCGAACGAAGCTCAAAAATCAGATTTTGCATAATTTGGCGATGTCCACATCTAATGTTCTCAACAAAAAACGTCTCAGACAAAGGAAACGTGCAAGGCTTGGAAAAAATGTTATCTTATGAGCAATATCCCGAAGAGATTTCTCGCCCCTGGTTGTCATCTTTCAAAAAAGTTGATCAGCCTTCATGGAGGGTTACTCGACATAACTACAAACATATCGTGTTCAAAGCGTGTGCATACCATCCAGATTCCGAGTGCTGCACCTTCTTTCACGAGAACTTGAGCAATCTAAAATCTTTTGAAGATACACTGTTATACTTGAATGTCATTTGAAACATATTAAAGTCGGCTGATCTATACGAAACCATCCCATCACAGGTCCTTTGTCTTAAACGTGTACGTTATCACGATGGCGTGACACTGTATTTCTGCATAAAGTTTCCATCGGTCGCTCCAAAGAAGACGAGAAATGGACATTTTTCGATATTTCAACAGATCTCCGCGCATTCTGAAGTAAAATCAACCAAAAACATAAGAAAGGGAAGAGGAAAACTTTGATTGAACACTCGTAGACACTGAGAACCCGAGAGCATAAATCGCAACTTGTCAGCGGTAGTACTACATGGAAAACCCAGTTGCAGCATGGGCAACCTGCACGACTCGCACGAAAACCATTATAAAGTGGAGATTTTGAACAACTAAGTATATCCCCGCAGTACAGCAAATGGAACAGGGATTTCATCACGATCAATTTCCAAAAATTTAGCCTTTTTCAGGGAGTCTCTAGCATGACCGAAAGCTATCTTGACTTTGAGCCTTGAGATTTACTGACTTCCCTTGATAATAAAATGCTATGGTAAGTGCCTACAAAATTACAAAGGTTCCTTTGTTGGTTTCGTTTTGACCATGGAGTACAGAATTGAAGTAATTAATGCTGTCACTGACGAATCAACGGGCACGATGTTCTCAGGTATTAGCTTGATAATCTCCACAGACAAACGTTATTGGACCGAATGATCTCCTTCTTCTTCTGGTGAGCCGGCTACCCAGGGGCAAATTAGAGACCTTTGACTTCCTCTCGTGTAAATCACCGGGAGATTGCGTTATATTCATCTTTCTTTAAGCTTGT